CTTCATTAGCAATTTCAGTTTTGTAAATAATATTTTGGAAAAAAAAACACTAGAAATACAGTTCTAGGAAGTTTTTATAGCTGTAAAGTCTTCTCTCAATGTACTTTAAGAGTGGTGTCACATTCGGTAAAAGTTTATAAAGTGTTAAGAAACCTGTAACTAGAGATAGTCGTTCAATGTTTTTATTTCCAGTTATCTGACAAAAAAATCTGAAACAAGGCAACGATTCGGATTTGTTTGGAAAAATAACTACGCGATTTAAATCCGAAAAAAGTTTCATTTATAAAGATGCCTACAGATTTTCTCGATTGTTTTGACGTTCGACACGTGTGATCAAACAAAAGCAACGCTGCCGCCGGTAGTCGATTTTTTTTTAATTTTTTTAATCGCATTTGATATTCAAAAATTAATGTAATGTACACTGCCGTGATCAGTAAAAAAAGGCCAATCTGTGTATATTTTAATTTTTTCCTAGGAGGATAATTAATGGTGACTTCATTAGAAAAATATTATAAAAAAATATAAATATTATTTGACTTTAATTTCTTTATACATTATTTTCTCACTTTTGAGTTTTTGTCACACTCTTTCAACTAACGGCGACAGAACAGACGATCGACATCGTATCTTGTGTTTGTTGTTCGATCAACACGTACGAAAGTCTCGTAAATTTGTAAGTAACAGATGATCGATATCGTATTATTTGTAGATTAACACGTGACGATCGTCAAAAAATCGAGCAGATGTAGACACCATAAATTAAACAATTGTTCTTTTATCTTATTTAGAGTCTTGTGAATTTCCTCTATAATAGAAACTTCTAGGCCACAGTAGTTTACAGATTAAAGAAGAGACATTCTTTTAATCATTAAATTACCTTGTGCAATATTTTCAAGGCTTAATATTGCGGAAACGACAATATTTTTTTTAAACAATTTTTAAGCTGATGCTATTATTTTAGAATATCAATATAGACATTGCAATTTTATTGAAGTAAACAACATTGAAATATACCTGCTTTGATATATTCTTAATCTATACACAAATTGTACACTCAACCCGTACTGGGATTTACACTTTAGGAAATTCTTAATGTTAGTTGTAAAGTAGAATTTAGATGTCCAATGTAAAACCCAGCATGATGTTGACTGTAGCAGTTAATTATATCTAGGGTTTCATATTTTTACCTACATTACAAATAAATTACATTAATTGATTTCATATTCAATGACTGTTCAAACTTAAAAGACAATGTCAAAATCTGCCCCATATATACATAAATGTGTAATTTTAGTTATGTATTAAAGTTGCAAATATTTTCAACTTCTAGTACTTCTCGACATTCTGTATTTCAAGTAGAGGTAGTTTATGTGTTCATATTACAACAATAAACTCAAAAGTTCCTAAAACTATAATTGTCATAAAAGTACTAGAAACATTATGGCGTATTAACAAATTCATCTCAAAAGCAGGATCGATATTAAGTGTATAGCAAGAGAGTGATGTGTAATGACTTCTACATGATTATATCAGTATTTTCCGATACCGGTACTACTAACCTTGCTACAGTAACGGTTAGAGCATTCAGTTTAGCTGCATTTTCTGCCTCCCGGGAAAGAAATCGAGACTCGTTACGGTTTCGAAAATCCCAGAAAAAATGACTATCGAAATTACTTCAAAAGAAATTTCTACAAAGGTTAAACAGTTGGGCAGGCAGAACATTACATTGTAATCAAATTCTTTATTAACTCAAATTATATCTTTATAGTGGGCACATAGAAACAAAGGGCGTTTAATGTATTATTAGATAGAGAGGACCAAATTTATTACTATAGTTCTTCAATGTTATACATACATTAATACTATGCTGCACTCCACCACACAGTGTTGCCATGTCCATGTAAGCAGTGTAAAAATTACTGTTGGTTTAGTCGATTTTTTAAGTGGCTTAAGACTCAAAATCTCGAAAATTCCGAGAATCAAAACATCAGTCTTGAGTCACAAAAGCCAAATCGAGTTTCCCGGAATAAATGCCCTAGTACCGGTACTTGATATGCTACCGGTATAAATTACCTTGTATTTTCACCGGTACCTTAACCTTGCTACGGGGCAGGTACTTGAGATGCAAAATAAATGCAATCATACATGTGATTAGTTTTCTTGTACCATCGCTTAGTTTTACGAGTGCAAAAAAAAGATAAATCAAGAAAAACGATACTTGAGCTGATATGCCCTGACGTGTTGGCTGCTGCCAAACGTAGCGAACTGACATCGTTGCGGGAACCACTATTGAGTACTAGTACCTGCAGATAATTATATCTGTTCTCCCTTGGTACCGGTATTCAAGTATCGAAATAGAAAATCTCCATATAACACATATATTTTTGGTAATTATATTTGTGGCAAGTGGCAAAATGAATTGAATGCAGTGTCTTGGTGATTTGAGACGGTATCATCCAGATGCTCATTATAGACAATAGGCTATCTAATAATAATCAGGATAGAGCTTGAGCAGGATTTCAGTAATGTTACATCCGATTTGTATTTAAGAACTGTTTATCAATATGTGCCCTAAAGTTTAGAACACAGAGTTCAAAACATCTTTGTGTAATACAGTTTTCCGTCAGGAGCAGCAGATTGGTGATACTGGTATTGTTATGCTTGAGTGTGTGCGTTAAAAAACCAACATGATCAAAGTTTTGCGAAAATGGCACCTAAAGATTTATTCTTTGTTTTTGATACTTTGTTCTAAAAAAGTGACTTTTAAAATGAAAATTTTATCTGTCACCTCATGAACAATGATTTGTTGTGATTATTACTAACAATTCCCCAACAACAAGCACAACAGCTAATGTTTTCATTTTACAAGAAAATATCAAAAACAAGGAAAAATGATGGTTGATTCAGGAGGTGCTAAAGTGACTAACGGCGCCCTTAAATTAGTTGCTTATAGAATTATATATTACAGCAGCAGCCGCGTATTACGTGTTGCTTCACTAATTGTTACTGCAAAAGTGGCGCACACGTGTCACAACAGCGGCACTGCGACTGCGCTTCCAGATATTGTATGATAATTAATAGTGGCGAGGCTGCCCTAGTACCTAGTAGTAGACGGTGCCCTAAAGCCGGGTACTCATAAGCGAGCTGTAACTGTAACGTGACAGATAGAGTAACGAGCTTCTAGTTTGGTCGCGTGAAAGTCTTCACTCGCTAGAATAAATGCCTGGTTAGCATGTGGAGTAGAGAAACTAAAGCAGGAGGTAGATAGTCAGCACCCTTTATTCGGTCACAAACTCCCACCTGAACGACTAACAAGAGCTTTCTTCGACATACCACCGCTATGAAGGTAACCGTTGGGTTACCTTCATATGACGTGAGGTGCAAACCCTGGCAAGCCAAATTCGCTGCTCCTCTTCATTATATTACCCCAGCCGAGAGTATTCCCCCTGGGCACGAGTAGCAGTGGTGAGTATGGAAATCTTTGAATCGTCTCAGATCACGAGACGAGATCACCGATGTAGAGAAATGGGGATATATCAATTAGACTCAAAACCATTATGCTTGCAGATCCCCCACACAAAGTATGTCTCACTTGCTCTCATGGCCACTGTGACTGACCAGCTGCACCCGCGAACACCTGCTAAAGATAGGGGCATAGAGGTGGCTGCTTATAGAGCCAAATAAATAAAACACAGGTTTTTACTGGTTTTTAGCATTGACTCGACAAGAAGATCGTCAGCTCACTGCGAACCGCACGCGTTCTGCTCGCGAACCACGTACACACTATGATTTTGATAACATGTAATGATTACGATTACACCTCGCAAGTGAGTACCCGCCTTAATACACAGAGATTTTCATGGGCCAAAATATTCCAGAGACGACATTGGGTCAGAATACGATTAGTCGGTTTTGCACGCCAAATATGCTTTTTAAAATTATCTTTCTGATGCATTAGATGTTTTATTTGAGAACCCCATCAATATTTGATTTCACACTCAACCTCTTGAATTGACAAAAGTAATAGAACCTGACTGACGATTTTTGTGCTATGGTCAGTCAGACTGCACCCTTACTACAGAGGACTAGAAACAGCTCTAACACCAGTTAAGTTGTATTAGTAGCGTGCTTATAAAAAATTGCTTTGATTTTAGTTCATAATTACTAAGTACTAACAAAGTTTGTTTTTGGTGTATTATTAACAAATGGACATATTATGATGAAAATTACAATTATTACATTATTAGAATGATGTAGCAAATTTTATTTTAAATTCAATAACAAAGGAAATATAGATCGTTATGAACCTACCCAATAATGTTGAAATAGCATATTTAATTTGTTTCCGTTTGTACAGTCACATGTAGTTTATTATAAATAATTTGATTTTTATACCTTGATACAATTTTAAAAAATTTATTCACTTTCTGTTAGCCTTATGAATATTCTGAACAATAATAGACTTAAGACTAATTTGGTTAAAATGTAGTAATTAATTTATTATTAGCATTAACAGGTATTTAATGAATTTAATTCAACACTCAGTGGGGGATTCTTTGATACAAGGAAACAGTTTTTTGTCATTACAACAACATTTTTCTTTTTTTGGCGAGTTTGAGATGTGAGGGTATGAAAAGCTGCCCTTCGTCAAAATATTTGTCATAGACTAGTAAATTTTGCACTTAAGAAGACCTTCATATCAATTATCTGGTGGAAATAGTACCTACGTCACAAAATTTCCAATAGAGACTATGTAAGTATGCACACAATTTATTTTTATAACAGTAATTCATCAAGACTTAAAAGAATACTCCCTCACACTTCAATCTACACCTGAAGATATATAACTACAAGAACTTCAGTCCTATAAACATCTTGCTAAAACAAGCATTTCGTTTCAAACTTAACACTAAATGTATCAGTGATTACTTAAAAATCACTGCCCCATGCTTACCTCCGGTCATATAAAAACTACGTACCATGCCGAACTTAGTCTCTTGTTCCTTGAATTTGACATGTCACATTATTTAGCCACTGAAAATCACTATAATATCCTTAACTGCCAAAGTCACAGTTAAAACATCCGTCACTTATCAATCTTGAGCGTCACTTCAGTGTTTGGTAACCTGGTTGGCACTGTCACACGTTTACTTTTCACGTATGATGAGCACCTTCCGGAAGTCCCAGGATCATTCGGGCTCCGCGTACATGAATGAGAACTTATCGTGACTGGTGGGGGCGATCACGCGCGCCTCGATCAGGCACTGGACCACCCAGGTTGTGGACACGAGCGGAATGTTGTCTTGGTTTGCTTTGTTTTGCACCTAGAACATTAGGCGGAAATTTTGTAATTTATGGATTGAATGATTGAATGAACTGTGAATACTTGAAGAACCTGTGAGGGACCTTTTTCCATTCAATACCTACTGTTCAATTTGAGAACAAATTTCTTTCTTTCCTCCGTCACTAATATATTGTTTCGATTATACCAAGTAACGGGACGAACAAATCATGAACCTGGTGGTAAGCGACACGCCTCTCCATAACAGTTGCAGTGCCACTCAGAGCTTTAAATCACAAAGATCTGAGGGGCACAGCCACTGCACCCGTCACTCTAAGATATCAGTTGACGAGTCCCATGTGCCTGTAATTTCACCAGCACCCTTACCAGAACGCAGTGATGCTTACATTAGGGCTTGGCGGCAGAAATAGGTAAGATGGCAGTACTTCCCTGGTCGAACTATTTCACAATGGAGCTCTGCAGCTACTAAATTACATTATGGTAATGCGTTTTTAATTTGCACTCTGGAAACTGGGCTAAATTTGCTAGGACTAATATTTCATTCGATATAATTAACATCTATTTTGGAACAATTATAAAATATTATGAGATGAAAACATGGGTGATTGAATATAAATATACTAGTGGTGCATCTAACTTCGTCTGCGTAGAATAAGTACTTCGAGTAGCCTACTGTAATGTACTATACTAATTTTCATAGCTTTATTGGTTCTCTGTACAAACTTTCATCCACTATTTCACCCTTTTTAAGATTTATTTTTGTGCCAAAAAGTAGCCTACGTCCTACCCTTAATCCTTATCTATTTCCATATCCAAATTCATCAAAATTCACCAATTTTGCACCGCAAAATGCTACACGCTGCACCGCAGCAGTAGGCGTGGAAATGTGACAGATAGTTACTTTCGTAATTATAATATTAGCTGGGATGTATAGGCTTTATACCTCATGTGGACAATCCCACTCAGTGACCAGCGCAAGCGCCCCCGATGTATGCAGCTGCTCCTCATTAACCACTCTAGTATTAGCTCCTGCGAGTGTCATTACACGGTCCCAGAACTTGACGAATGTGTCCGCGTCGCCGCACAGTAGTATCAGCTTGTCTTTGAAGAACGATGTATTGCGTTTGCCTGATGGTGGCACCTGGAATGTTATTTTGCGTTGTTTTAGTAATTTATCGTTTATATCATACTTTTTATGAAGTAGCTACTATACGTTTAGTCTGCGGTTTAGTAACAGTCTAATACTGAGGATGATGCTAATGTATACCGCTCAAACTTATTGCTTTACGTTTATACGAGAGGTGGCTGAAAAGTAACCTACCTAAGTATGAAATAAACGACGACCATGGCTACTTTTTTTCATTATGAAATACAGATGAAATGTAAATAGGAAATGCACTTATTATATTTGTTAGACAGGGACGTAAAATAAGTTGTTGTTTAAAATTTTTTGTTCATGCAAAGCGAAACGTACCTAATAAACAAAATAGTGTCACTAAGTTTGAAAAAAAGAATAAATGACGAATGCATCACGATAGTGGCCTGTATTATTTTTAATTGAAAATAATCAAAAGAGATTACTTTTCACCTGCCCCTCGTATGTTTATTTATTTATTTTATTTATTTATTTGCATTCCATAATGTACATGACAGATGTTTTACATATATTGAGATCAAATTATGGACCCTGAACAGGGCACAGCAAATAGTAGAAGAGAGGACCTAGTCTCATAATTGTTACACTTACTAATATATAATTTGATATATACCAACGCCAACAGCTTTACTTCAGATACCAAATTTATCTTCTAAAAACTCTTTTACATTATAATAGCTTTTCTTTATGAGAAAATTCTTTAAGTTTTTAAAGAAAATCTTGTTATTTTGTTCATTATCTTGTCATGTATGTCGCAGCCGTACTTTATAAACCGCCGTATTACATTACGCCTAGATTATTAGCAAAACGGCAGTTTTCTGGGGGTCTACTCTCGATCTCCGACATCTTGATGAATGAACCTTTATCCATTAGTCTTTTGCAATAATCATATAAGTGTTTAGGGTCCTAATGGGACGTAAAATAAAAGTATATATATATCTATGTATAACTATAGGGCTGGTATATTCGCCGTTTCAATTATACAGCTTGGCTTGCAAATATGATATAATTATAGTAGGGTCGACCGGCTGTCGATAAGGCGAGAGATCATTTTTTTATTTAATATAAAAACCATAATTTAAAACTGTTAGAATATTGTAATTGTTTAATGATATTTCAGCTACGCATCGTTAGGATAAGTTCCAATACGAAGACTAATTTAAATTGTATTTAAAAGAGAATTTTGTGCTCTATCTTATGCTATTTAAAACGGATATATGACCACTTGTCATTTACCCGCGTTTTAATTTGTGGACGGTAGCGCTGCGCTGCTGCCGCTCGTAGCTAGGAGCGTAGCGGATCGAGGTTGTCTTAGTCTACCCCAGTTTAGTATTACTATAGACTAATGAATCAAGAAGACTGCTAATCCCCATATATCGAGTATATAACCAGAAATAGAGACGAAATAAGGGCCATCCATCCCTGGCAATTCATCAGACAAATGGGTCTTATATCATTTGTAAATATCAACTCTCGTTTGCGCTGATATCACAAAATAGAAAGCTGAAATAGTACAACGCCAACAACTGACCTGTGTGTACGTCTCCGTGTATTCCAAAAATATTGTGTATTTACTGTAATAAAGATAATATCTCTAACAATGTGTGGCTGTTCCATTCGGTGGTGTGGGATAAATAGCAAAACAAACACAGCATTACAAAACATACGGAATCACATTTCATCGGTAACTAAATATGTAATTTTGCAATTTTCATCCATTATACCAAAGCTCAAGTTAAATTGGTCGATTTCAAGTGAAACAATTTACGACACCCGTCAATTGTTTCGAATTCGTGCTGGCCAATCGGAACGAAGTTGTCATCGTAATGATTTGGCAGAATAGTTTTTTCAAATTAAATGACATTTCGTCTCTATTTCTGGTTATATACTCGATGTAATATACAAATCGTAACTCTGAAAATGGTCAAAATTCCGTCTTATATCTAGGTGGCGCTGATCAATAACCTGGAAGTAGTTTATATTATGTAAATGGTCATGGATAACAAATAATTCCAATTCCAAAAAGTCAGTTTTTTTCCTTGTAATATTATTCAAATATCAATAATTGAATAATGAGCTAAAATTATTTTCGGAACTTTGACAAATATGAGTGTCAATACATGACATTGAGTGTAAAGAATTAATTTATAAATAAACGCTTCCTAATATGGGTAGGTGACGCTAATCCTAAACGAAATAAAATAATAATTATCGGCACTATCCATAAAAATCTGTGTAATGAGCGCCATCTAGTTGATTTGTTTATTATCACTAGAAATTAGAATAGCTTTGATGAATTCCAGCAAACTGGCTGGAAGTTGCAGGAAGCTGGAAGACGTAGGTTCGAACCCAGCCGCATCAAAATAATTTTTTCTTAGTATTCGATCTTTATAATAATAATTATTACAAACTAGTGGAGTAATTTCACAAAAATAATTGAATATAATGGTGGTCAAACATTTTGTTGTGGCGTTACCATTGTGGCGTCAAATCGCGATGAAGGTAGTCGTCGACAGCGCAAGTGGGTAGACAGATATGTCTGCTCTTAAAGCTGTCATCTGCCGCGTCCAAACAACCCGTGACCATGGAGCGTGCAACCGTTCCGAAATATCGGGAAAATAAAAAGAAGTCATACCGTGGTAAGAAACCTGATATTAGTGATAATCATTTAGTGAATAACCACGAGTCTTAAAATCTATATATACACGATTTATTTATATCCGAAAAATACTTTTATTTCCTATGTGTGTCAATCACGAAAATCAAAGAACTCGATATACGAGACGTAGTTACGTACCCAGTTAACAAAGCAACCCTTCTGTATGGACCAGCCGGCAGGCAGCGCATATTGGTCAAAGTCCTCGACCCTGTTGTTGATGCAGCTCATGATCACCCAGGTGTGAGTGACGGCGCGGATGTCCGCCGCGAGACACTGGATGTACTTCGCGGTGAGGCACGGTCGCGGCGCTATAAGCTTGCAAACGGAGTACTTGTTCTTGGGAACGTCGTCGAAGTGACTGGAGAGAAAAAATATACATCAATTGTCATATTTTTGGAGCGACTGAGATCTGTGTTGCTTGACAGAGGTGTGCAAATTCAAATATTGTCTATGAATCGCTTAGATTATGGAAACTAAAGGACATGTTACGTTGACATATATAAATCAGACGTTATATGTATATGATGCATTTCGACGTCGAAAACATAAACATGTTATTGTCTTTGTTTAACTATTACGTGCCGTCTTAAGTCAAAAGATAGCATTACATTGGTCTGTGTCAAACACGGAAATCGAAAATACGTGTCCATTTCGCTGTACATGAAGTACATGATACCGTTGTCAAAGGGAAGTACATCAAATGTCAAAACAAATGATTTTCCAAATTTACTATTGAATTATTTGCATGTATTATAATTAAATTGGACAAAAATATTGACAGTGAGAATAATTAGGTATTAATAAAAATGCGACGCTGCAGCATTAAGGGATGTGTGGATGGGGAGGGATGGAGGGCTTTAGAAAAAGTGCGAATCAATGGAATGTTACATTGCACAGGCATGTGTTATCTTTTTGTCTGTAAATCACACTCACTTTAGATTGCCTGTTCGTTTGTGTATTTTTATGATTGTTGTTAACTATTATTTTGAGATAGTGTTGATCTTGTAAGCATACGTATTTTCGATATTCTGTTATTAAAACAATTCACTAATAGGTTTTTAATGTTTTATTATTATTATTTTTATTATATCAAGTTTTCTTCCTACAAATGAAAAAAGGAAGAAAGAATGGTTGGAAATCATAGGACTGCCGAATGTAAACGTTGGACCATCTTCATTTTGTTCGCTTCATTTTGAAGAGTCAAATTTTAACAGAACTTTGAATGTAACTAGATTACATGATAATGCTATTCCATCATTAGGTTTATTGATAAATAATTCTATGTTCAATTTAGATTATAATTCAAGTTAAGTTATAAGTTACCAGTTGTAATCTTGAAAATAAAATTTAAAAATAGTTTAAAAATGTGTGTTGACATTTATAATAATATACCAATCGAGATTAAATTATTAGACTTGTGTTTGTTTAGGCATACTTTGGTTACAGTAAACTATAGAAACAAAAAAAAAACAGTTTCAACATTCAAGCCATACATTTGCATGTCGATAATGACTTATCGATAGATTATGGTACAACGCTAAAGACATCCGCCATTTGTAACTTTCAAATTTTGGTTATATGCACGTTGATTCTGTAGTTAGGGCAGCTCCTTTTATTTTTTTTTCCATTCTCTAAGATTAATCGTCGCAATTGTGAATTATGAGTTTGACAAGACTTAAGATGTAAAGTGCTAAATTGAAAAGACTTCCCTAAAAAGAATTGCCAATTTTACCACAGTTATACGCTATAAAATTTAGCTTCAATAGAATGACAGGTGGGCGAAATTAAGACGACGTAAATTTAACGCACTTGTCATACACATTACATATTAATTAAACATTACAAAACAATATTTTGCACATTTACGGTACCACCTATTAACATATGGTAATTGAAATCCATAAATCATTAATACATTACTGTTGGGAGTTAATTCACAAAGCTAAGTTTAATAAGGGCCTTTGTTGAGCCTGATGACAACTACATTTACCACAAACGCAATGCTCAAGGTGTGGGTGTTACTAACAATTAACGCGCCAAATCCGAATATTGAAGGGTTTGTACTAGTTACGTATTTGCGTCGCATATTAATGGTTTAAATGGTAAGATAATGTACTAACTGACCTGAAAACAATTCCCCCACCGGCTTCCAGCTGTTCCTTCAAGCGCTCTTTATTGAAGGGGCGATCGGAGAACTCTAGGTCCTCAGTGTCTGTGCCAGCCATCGTTGAGGTGGTTTCACCGTCTTCTTCTGAAGAGTAATGCCGCGTTTCTTGGCTGGTTTGGAATTGTTGCTGAAATCCCAGACCGATATGGGTTATAGAAATACACAAATACCGTTTTTTATTATAGGCGAAATACAAACACAAACCACATAAAAATACGATACCAAAAGTGTGGGTCGGCAAATAATTGTATGATTACGCGTAGCTCTATTAACACCTACCGCGATTTGCCGTCGATGTAATATCGCCAACGTGTGGAGGAACCTGATAATATCAGCCACAACTTTTTTTTTTTTTATTGTGACTCGGCAAAATGACTGCACCGCGCCTGATGGAAAGTGCGTATACAGTCCAGAGATGAGAGTAACGGATGGAAAACACAAATATCTTCACTCCGTCACTATCATTTTGCCGATCTGGCCAAATGCTTCTTCACACTACGTTTCAAGGACCCGATGTTATAGAGGGGAGGGAATACATGCGCCGGGAGTTGGTTCCACAATTTGATGGTTCGGCATAAAAACGAATTGCCAAACTTTTTAGTGCGGGACGGTATTGAACTACCATTGTGTCTGCGCAACCACTCGTGATCACAGTGAAGTTTAACTAAATTCGGCAGGACCATTTTTAAATTGAAACGTTTTTTACCGGCTGTGCTGCGGTTTCCAAGTTTGGTATTGCATGAAATTTTTGCGGGTTGCAAGTATAAGCCAATTCGAAGCGGGATGTTATAATCTCAGTACAGAGTACTAAAAAAACCGACCACAAAAGTATGTCAAATTACATCTATTTGCCAAGTTTTATTATAATATCACTAACCCCCAGTTCGCCACTATACAGGACTTGACACAGGAGATAATCAAAATCGGTTCTCACTACTCAAAGTATATTGAGAGAGAAAAATGCCTTGAATTGGAGAATAGCAAAACCAACAATTAAAATAATTGCTCCTTAAGTAAAATTTAGGCGCTATTTATAAAAATGAATGTTCATGCGTGATCAGCTACCCTTAGAGGTGGACGATTTTCTTCAAAATAAAATGGGACCACTATGGAGGTACCCTCTTTCCAACAAAAAAGAATCATGAAAATCGGTTCACAAATACCGGAGGTATCGCGTAACATACATACAAAAAACATACAGTCGAATTGAGAACCTCCTCCTTTTTTGAAGTCGGTTAAAAAGTGCAATAATATCGCATGTTGACATCAATAGTGTCATACTAAAAATTCAAATATCAGGAAATTTCGTACGAGCTTCGCGCAAATAAGTACAAATTTGGAAAAGCGAGACATTCGCTAAGTGACGATACTGGGATCTACTCTCCTTTTCTGTCCAACATACGTCCGAAACAATTACTGTAAGTAATGTAATATTTGACCAAAATCCAAAGTTAATGTCGAGTATGAAGCTTCATTCGCATCATGCGTCTGATAATTTGGTCGAGTGTTACTTATTTGACAGTACCTACTTGTTTCTGTCGGATGTCAGACGGAGTACGGGAGTAGACTCCCTGTTGCAGTGGTTGATAACTTACTTTATCTATCTTGATAACTTATTTTAGGTCACCTATCAGTAAACTCAAACTCAAACTCAAAATAATCTTTATTTCATAGGTAAGCATTATTACACTTGAAATCGTCACAATGGTTAAACTCTACCGCTCATTCGTAAGGCAGATTCCCCTGAGAAGAATGAGCAAGAAACTCTAGGGGTTGCTCTTTGTAAATAACATTTACAATATTTTTTTTTTTTTTATTTGAAACATCAGAGATCGAGACTACCTCCATGAGCTAAACGGGTTACTACCACGGATTTTTGTCATCCAAGTACGCAGAAGTTGTATAATAAACTTTAGTATAAAGTTTTTGTTTCACTATAGTTTTAAACCTCGAGAAAGGCAAATTTTGTATATCAACCGGAATCTCGTTATAGAAGCGTATACATTGCCCCTTAAATGATTTTTTGACTTTGTGAAGACGACTATCAAGAAAAGCTAGTTTATTTCTATTCCTCGTATTAATGTTATGTCTGTCACTATTTTTCATAAATAAATTACTATTCCTTTTAACATAAATTACATTTTCATAAATGTACTGTGAGGCTAGTGTAAGAATGTTAATTTCCTTAAACTTATCTCTCAAAGATACTTTGGGGCCCAGATTGTAAATTGCCCTAACTGCACGTTTCTGCAGGACAAAGATTCTATTGATATCGGCGGCATTACCCCAAAGCAAAATGCCGTATGTCATTAGACTGTGAAAGTAACTGAAGTAAACCAATCTAGCGGTTTCGACGTCTGAAAGTTTCCTTATTTTTTTAATCGCGTACACTGCAGAGCCGAGCCGTTTTGATAACTTACTTATATGGGGACCCCATTGCAATTTAGCATCTAACGTTATACCTAGAAATACAACTGTATCCACAAGATTCAATTTTTCGTTTCTAACTACAATGTTTGTAACCGTCTCTCTAACATTGGGTAATGTAAATTTCACACAATTTGTTTTTTTCTCATTAAGAAGTAGGTTATTAACAGCAAACCAATCAACTACTTTAGATATAGCATTGTTCACATCGTCATAGGAACATTGGTGCCTTTTAACTTTAAATAATAAGGAAGTATCATCAGCAAACAATACTATCTCATGTTTTATACTCTCCATAAGGCTAGGTAAGTCATTAATATAAACTAAAAATAAAAATGGGCCTAGAATTGAACCTTGAGGGACACCCATGCTAATTGCAGATCCTGACGATCTCGTACCGTTAACATCGACCCTCTGTACCCTACCACGCAAATACGATTTAAGAAGGTCGAGATCACGTCCCGCCACACCATAATGGCGAAGTTTCCTGACCAGTGTATCATGGTGCACACAATCAAAAGCTTTGGAAAGGTCACAGAATACACCAATAGCATCATGTGAAACTTCCCATGCATCAAATATATGATTAATCAACTCGACACCAGCAACGGTTGTAGAGCGACCCCGAGTGAAACCAAATTGCTTAGGAGACATTAAGTAATTACTGTAAAAATGTGCACACATCTGATTTAGAATAATTTTTTCAAATATTTTACTGAGAGTTGGTAGTATTGATATAGGTCTGAAATTGGTGGGGTCAGAAATACTACCAGATTTGAAAAGTGGAATAACTTTACTTTGCTTCATGAGGTCAGGAAAGACACCATCATCAACACATTTATTAAAGACACAGGCCAAATAAGGCGCAATACAATCAACTATAGAACTAATAACTCTGACTGAAAGACCATCAAGATCAGCTGTATTTTTTATGTTTATAGACTTAAAGGCTTTAACAATATCGTTTGGAAATACATGACGGAACCTTAAATTAGTGATACTAACTGCATTATTTTCTTTTAGTAAGGATTCAGCGGCGGTGGGAGATGAATTTAACGACTTAGTAGTCAAAATTGGAATGTCAGTAAGTCCGAAATGACATTTTCCAGAAATAACGTTTGCTCGAATTTTCATAACTTCGAATGTAATTTTGAGTGGAAAATGTTTTTTCTTTTAAACCTAACTTAACCTAACCTAGCCGAGCCTAATCGTGTCTTTGCGATAAACATCCAACATATCCTGAAACAACAACGGTATCGTTATAATTCGGTTTTCAGTATAATGAAAATTCGAACAAACGTTATTTCGGAAAAAACTTAGTCATAATTGTTTGACTGGGAGAAAGTGTGTAGCTAAAATTATATCATACAGGTAATTGTTTCGGACAGGAAACGAGAGTATAAGGCCAGTTTTGATCGTGCAATATGTAATTTAACAGGTTTTTATCGTGTACCTTTTTAATATTAATAATCAAGATAATGGCAGCAAAGTATAAAAATTACAATTTAATGCGACTGACGTTTCCGTAGCAAAAAAAACGCTGGACGTGGTGCGAAGTCGGTAAGGCCCAGATGCACAGAGGGCGCTAGAACGACGAGTCCCGGATTCGATTCTCGGTAGGAGCAATTAGAGTAACAAATTTTTCTCGGAGTTAATTATAATAACATGCCAGACAACCACAGCAATTGCCTGGTCTAAAACTGGGGAATTCCTTGTACCACGAATACCAGTGTAACGGAATTCACTGTGAGGCACTTCCTAGACCACCCAGGCAAGAGCCCATTTAGAAAAAAATATTTTCCAAATTGGTCCTACCGGGAACTGAACCAGAGACGTCCTCATTCAGTGCCCTCTATTTCGTTAATAGTAATTTCCTGTACCCGCGTAATAAAAAAATGACGAATTCATAAAAACCAGTAGTGAAGCTGCTTACTTTGTCCGAGCGCGAGCGCCTTGGCGGTTCAGTGCAGGTCAACAAGAAATGGAGTCCAGCGAACAGCTTGCTGTCCCCACTAGGTATGGGGCCCAGTTTGGACACCGTGTCCTCGTCGTTTTCAAACTTTGTCAGTTTCGAGTTTTTCTTGCCGATGTTTTGCTTCGCGGCTCCTTTCAATTGCAGAGGGCCGGCTGAAAATGTTTTAAATATATTTATATTAAGCAAAATAGACTCGATTGATTCCAATCTCACCGATGTTGAGCGAAGATGTGACCGACGATGGTGCGGGTTTAAACAAAAGCCTAATCACGCTAGCCATGAATAAACTCTAGATTGTAATTTACGAAAAAGTTGAAAATGCTTTTCTGGCACGCAGAGGTCTAGGGTTGGATTCCCGGGCTGGGAGAAAGATAAATAAATCTATTCTGTATAAAAATTTAACCAAAATTCATGAACATTATTAAATAACCTTTTATTTACATATATGCGCCAGATTATATGTTTACATAACTTTAATTAAGGTTAGTAGTGCAAGTTAATCAAGGTGATACCTAAACTAAGTAAAATTGTTTACTTGTATCTTAGGTATCCATATACTCGTATTTGTATGGCTTACATTTATTTCTCTCGTGACTTTTGGTGTAACTGTGGTTGTCTACGTGTGAGTTTATGGCATCCACGATACAGGGTTGTCCCTAGTGCGGGGCTATGAGTGTGTTGTGTTACATTATTATTAATTTACAATATATTGTTACGGAATAATATGATCGTCATTAATATAAACAATAATATACTCCCGGACAAATAATTCGAGCCACCTCGCATTTTTGTCGTAAATGGCTAGAATACAAAAATTGTGTTATCATCGAAGAAAAAGCTTTCCCCCGGTTTTGCAAATCCAAATTCCCAACAAGGTCTATGGAGAAAAGAAATTTAGTATATTAGCTTCAAATTTGTATAATACTTTTTGATTAATGAAACATTGTTTAAGCTTAGGGCACTTAATACTGAAAATGAGTGGTGGCTCGAATTATGTGTCCGGCAGTGTATAAATAGTGCACTTAAAAAAATATATAAATTAACAAAATAATGTCGAAATACAATAACATCAAATAAAAATAAAATTACAATTTCTTCCAAAGAAATCATCTACACTGTAATTATCCAAACAAAATTGTCCAATAACACCATGTAACACGATTTTTGTTTCTGGGTTAACAATACTATTTTCTAATTAGTTCTAACGTAAAAACATGAAAAAACTTTGCTTTTGTAGTCAGTACAACCAAAAGTTGAAAATTTCTTATATATAAAATTATTATAGGCACTTTTTTCTGTTTTTTTAAACGGACACCTGGGCTCCGTCACTCGCTCAAGGTTATGCGATATACCGCTGAGTGCGCAACTAACGTCATACAAGTCTTTTATATAAAAGCATTCGGCTCCACACGAGTGCACACGGCGCGCAACGTTATTTTAACCTCTCTGAGCGCGTGCTTAGGTTTCTTTTTCCTCGTAGTGAGCGCCTGGTGTCATTAGTCAGACTATCGCAAACAGTGAAATTATTTAGTAGGCTATTGTAGCGTAGGTATTTTCGATTTTCGATGAGAGTGATGTATCTATTACGTAGTAACTAATAGGTAATCTGTGCCAATACTGTCAAACCAGAAATAGACTCTTGTTGAAAATTTGTTACATAGTGTAATCTCCAATCAATCAGTATTCATGCTTTCTTAAACTTGAAGTATTTTCAGCACATTGAATCTTAAAACTTTCTAGTTTTCACTAGGTTCACAGACTGTCGCGATGGTGCAATTTCTATATAAAATTATTAACTATGTCACTGCATGCACGTGGTCTAATTATTATGGTGTAGTGTTTTCTTTTTTTAACAAGGACAAGTGGAAAAAATAATAGTGTGTGGTGAAGATATTCATCATCATTATTATCAAGAAAACAAAAACAATGGAAATGCATTATGCCACGATCACTATCAGAACCGCTATCGCCAAAAGTCTCACAATCGTTATTATATATATTACGAAATCTTGATAACGATTGGTCGTAATTTCTGATTTAAAAAGATGTAACAAATTCTGGACTGTAGTATCACTAACATAATATAAACTTTACCTTGTTGGTATATAGTTGAAAATTCAGTACCTATTATTGCAAGTTACGTTTTGATTTTATATTGAAATTTCATTCAATGTGCTGCCGTCTAACAGCAATAGCTGGATGACTATGAGACGACGAACGATTAACGCCTATTATCGTCGAAGTCGAAGATGAGAAAATGGAGACATATATGTGACGATGTGACCTACTTACATCGTCATCTCCCCCTTTTTATCAACTTTTCTCTGGTTGCTGGCTGCTGTTTTCAAATTTTAAATCGTTCTTTAATTCTCTGCGTCTAATTTTGATCATTTTACCAGTTCTCAACGTAATCATGTGCCAATTTTAATACCAATCTGTAACACAACTTTTTTCTTTTCATTTAATTATGAATAAATTTTTGTGGACCAAAGTATCCTATTGTATTGCCGTGATCCTAGTCACGGCTCGTTAGCAGTTTACAAACTTGACACATACATATATATAGCGCACAAAATAATTTCCTCGATTTTTGAGGTTTTGCGCGAGATAATTAACACAACCATAACGTATAAAGCGAAAATGGCGGAGTCAAGTATGCGGAACTTCGCGCATACTGGTGGCCCACGTGTCACGCCCACTAACTATTTCTAACGTCCCATTGCTAGGCATGGGTCTTTCTTCAAATATCCAACCACCTGGTTATGATTTTCCGTACCTTTGACACCATCGATCTTCCTGGGCGTCCTCTGCACCTCTGGCTCGACCCCCGCAACCTCCTCGAGTCTCACCGGCGGCGCCGAGTTGCTGCTTTCGCTCATCTCGCTGCTCTCGCTGGCCAGCCGCTTGCGGCTCACTGGAGTGCTTTTGCTTTTAACTCCTGACGATTTTAATTGGAACAAACTTCTTTAACCAAAAAACTATGGACCGTAAGTAAAAGTTAATGACAAACAACACTGCAGTTATCCATAATATACAAATGTAAATGTCCCCTTTAGTAAAGCTTCAAGTTCTTGGGTAAGTATCACAGTGGCCGTAGCATGGCAGTATGTCACATGCAATGTGTGATAGATCTCTCTGTGACATATTTATTCAGTTGATAAAGCCGTGTTGCCATTATTAAAATTTATTTTTTCTATTGCGAATACTGACTCGGTAAGATACCGCACTAGTCATTCGATCTTTTGTTTATTTGGTAATGAACTATTGTTACACATTTTGAAAAACAAAGATAACGATATGAAGTTGCGTATATAGCTATCTTTGTCGTTTAATCATCACAGTGAAAACGACGAAACAAAAAATGTAGTTCCAGTTTATACATATTTTACGTTATATTAGTTACGTTATACTATAGTTTTACGTTATATTATCTAATTACTCTCATGTATTGAACTGTATTTAAATGTTCTCACCTTTTTCCAATCATTTATATGATATATCAATATGTTGGTTTTTATTATTTTTTTTCGTTCTCGTTTGTCGCGCTCAATTTTTACAATTATAACATTACTGTGCAGAACTGTCAAAATGTTTTAAAATCAGCTGTGACTTTGCGGTCATTCTTTTGCAGCCATTGGTCGAGTCGCTTGCGAAGCGACAAAAATGTGACGTCACGGTGCACGCCATGTTAGCTACAGTGATAACATTTTAAAATGGCGGTTCATTCAATCACTCTAATTTGATAGCTAAATATGGATACAATACCTTTATCGCGGCGGCATGCTACGGGGGCTATTCTACTTATTTATATTGTAATGCAGCTGTGTTACACATATATTGAAAGGTAGGGAGAGTCAGCGTAATCATAGGTGCAACAGACCTAGGATCTTCTGGGCGTCTAAAGCTCCAGGCAGAATTACCTGTTTTATTGAGATATCAATTTGAAAGTCTATACCTGAGGTGGAAGCCTTGGGACTCTTGGGCGAAGCGACGCGTTTCCGTGCACTCGAACTGTTTTTGTCGCGACTGCGCGCGCTGCGGGGCCCCTAAGGATAACAATAACTTGTTAATTAAAAGGAGTTGACCCTTTCAGTCGGCATCATAAAACTAGAGGATTTTTTTCTCATTAATTTGCTTCCATTCCCAGATGAGACAAGTAACTTGTTAAAGATCTTGTAATGCAGTATTACTTACTTTTAAAAATATTTATTTATTAATTCATATACATCAGGCAGCTATGACCCACATAGTTATACCGTAAGGACTAACACAATAATTTTTCTCGACTTCTACACCATATAGAAAAAACTGATACCCTTATAACCAATACCTGTATAAACTGATACCTGTATAATATTATCCAAGTCTAGTTCCCTATTCTGTCGGCGGCGGGGCGTGACCGGCGCGGCTGGAGACCGCGGTCTGGCAGATTCTTTAATAGAGCGCGCTTGGTCTTCCGTCAAGTACAACTCACTCGCTGTTACCAATACTAAGGTGTCCCTGAAATTTAATTTCAGTCATTCATCGTAAAGAGATGTGAAAGTCAAATAATCATTTATTCCATAGGTAACATTTTTACACTCGAAAACGTCATTTTTTAAAACTACTTGTTAAGCTACTGCTCATTCACTACGCTGACCTCCCAGAGAAGAACGAGCAAGAAACTCTAGGGATTGCTCTTTTCAAATAATCTTAAATGCTATGGAATACACTATGAATCATAATTGTGTGAAATCTAGACTCTTTTGTCTTTCCACACTTCTTTATCTAAAATATACTCATCAATTTTGTAATATGACTTTTCAATTAAAATTAAAATCGAATAAAAAGAGGATTGCTCTAAGGCCGGTCAAGATCTGCTGTGTCGCATCACATCAGTTTAGTATGGTTAGGCTTTCATAAAAAATCAACAGGATAGCTAAGTTTGATTCAAGGATATTTGTAAATTCAAAACTTACCCGTCAGTCGTACATCTGTAAGTAACAGTTCCGTTGTCATTCTCCTCCACACCAAGTACTAAACCTGGTTCATAGTTCTGGTCTTCATCCACCAGGGCATAAACGGACTGCCCTTGCAACGGCAGCTGTTTCGTGTCACCAAAGATAATAAAGTCGTCAAGCAGGATTTTACTCTGCCCATCATCAAACTTGATCAGGTATTTGTTGGGCTCAGTAATTTCTAAAACTCGACCAGAGTAGTATCGCTTGTCTACCCATTTGGCTAACACAACGGTGTCGGGAGGATATCCAGGGTACTCGAGTTTCAATACTGGTTTCTCGACAGGGGTGGCAGGCCTCGGGGATGTTGGCCTTTTCTTTTGCTTCAGTTTGCTGACAGATTTTGGAGTAGCAACTAAAGATGACAACGGTTTTTCGTCTTTAGGTGATTTTACTGGCGAAACTTTGCCATTTTCACCATTTGTTGGCACCATTTCAGGAGAATTCATACCATGCATATATTCGGGCTCTTCGTGTTGCGTAGGCAAAATGGCTCGTTTGGTTTTTCCCGCCAAATGCCGCCGGCCTCTTACTTTGGTCTTCTTCAAAGAGCTTTTAGGAGTAGCCTTGTCGCATTTGCTGACTTCTTCAGGACTAGCATTGCCATTACTTAGAGTTGAACCATCGCTCATCGATGTCTGAATACCAACAGAAATCTTCTCGTCATTTATCGATCGATTTGCTTCATCGACTGATGTTTCTCTGATATGCGAAAAAATGTCTTGCAGCTTCTTCATTAAGGCATCATATCCCTTTACAGACACGGTAGGATTCGAAGAGACAGATTTTCGAGGTGGTTGTGGTACAACGAATGCACCATCGCTGGTTCGGTTGCTGCTTGAAGTGGAAGAGGAACTAACGGTGGAAGCAAATGATGTTCTATTTGGCAAATTGATCATTCCCCCACTGGTAACGCTTGAAGGAGAGTTGCCAACAGAAACATCAGCCAAGTATGGATCTATTGTAAATCTTTTGGATATTCTTTGGTACTCCTTGCAAATATCTTGACCAAGATCATTATCAGTCCTCACCACGACCAAAGATAGAAACTCGCAATCCTCATTGTGACTAACATGGACATCGAAAACTGGGATTTGTGGAGTATTGATTGGCAGTGAATGACCATTTTGTAAAGGAGATATTGTAGAAGGGGTGGTGGTGTTGCTCACTCTAAATGACTCGTTTTTACCCTTTTTCTCTTTCTTGTTGGCAAACTTCGCCATATCAGGAGTGCCGTCGCTATCTTCGGCGGCATCACGTTTAGGTTCAAGCTCAGTTGGCGTGGAAGAGTTGCCATTTGATAATTTTGATATCAACTTCGAGGCGACAGTAGGAACATGATCTGGACTGTCTAAGTTTACAGAACAAACACTATCAGTACTCTCTTGGTCGGTTGTTTTACCTTTGTAATCTGTTGGTCGAGGTTGTGACAAGTTACTGCTTTGATCAGAGTAGTTATACCCTTCACTCCTCGTTTCATGGATCTTACCAGGATTAAGGGCGTCTTCTCTATCTTTGACTAGAACAGGATCACTGCTGTGGATAGGATTATGAACATTGACCTTATCGTCAATGGTATCGTCATCCGGTGATGGCGATAAAACAAGACACAAGTTCTGGGAATCATTAAGCTCTGATCCGCTTTCCTCGGCAATAATTTCTGGTAGTTTTTTAAGTGGAATTTCTTTGACTGTTTCGGTGTGTTGAGAGCTATCAGAGATGACTATAACCTCAGAAGAGGAAGATGTATCTTTGGCAGGAGTTTTGCGAGGAGTCTTACGAGTTTTGGTTATGTCTGCACTGGCTGATCTGGATTTGGGTGTTCTCGGTGGTTTGGGTTTGGACAATTCGGCGCTGTTGCTCCGTTTTGCTGGACGATTTGGACTGGATCTCACTGGAGTTCGTACACGTGAGGTTGATGGTACGGCCAAATCAGTTTTTAGTTTAACACTGGTTATTTTCGAAACCTCTTCATCCAAGCTTTGGCTGGAAACAGTGAATTCATCATCGTAGAGATCGAGTTTTTGGACTTTCGCGGTGCTGTCGATAGGTTCATCAGAAAGTTTTCTTTTGCTTGACCGGTCATCTGAAATTATGTTCGTTTTACACTTAATTTTGTAGTATTTTTAGCTGGAAAGACAATCTGAAAATGTTTTATAGAAAGATTCTAATACAGTTACGAAACATAGTATAAAAGTATTACCTTTTATTCCCAATGATAATTCTTTGCTGTCATCGGACACATTGATGATGTCCTAGAAAACAGAAATGATAATGGTTGATGATATTTCTGATATAATATACAAAATCATTATACATGCAATAATTGACAAATTATGCAGGCGTGTTGTCAATGATGGTATTGCTTTAACCAGAGACAAGTGAGACATCTTTACATATATTATCTTGTTGTCAGCATCTATGGCACTCATGAGTAGGTACAGACTAGTCCTATGTGTAACTACTACTAACAATATAGACATTTTTTTTAATTATTCACATGTATTAATGTTTCACAACACTAACTTCATTCTTATGCAAGTCTTCTTCGGGCTCGTAGATTGGACTCTCTGGGAAGAGCATCTGAGATGTATTGCCGTTTGTTTTCATCGGCTCACAGTCACCAGCACCTGAATTTTTAATTAAAAGCATGCCTGTATTAATAACTTTCTACATTTCAAGTAACATAAAATGTGAGCCAGATGAGAAAGATGGAGGATAGGCTCATTTGAAAAAAAAAAAGTAGGTGCCACATGTTTTGGCAAAAATCAAGTCATAATGATTATACAAAAAGCCCATGTTAATGCTCAGGCCACACAGAGGCTGCTGCGGAACTGCAGGAACTTTTGTAATGTACGAGTTTATATGAACCCTGCGACAGTGATACAAGCGGCCGCACTTTCGCTCATACATTAAAAAATTCCCGCGCCCGCAACGCTTCTGCGACCGCCTCAGTGAGGCCAGAGCATTAGAGAATCAGTTTCGTGATTTATTTTAATAACATAATTGATTAATTGTGTATTGTGTATTGGTACAAGTAAATATAAAACAGACATTTTGTAATGCTATGCTTCTTTGCGTGTGATCAGAGTTGAAATCAATGCAAACTGATTTCAACATTTCCCTGACCTAATATCCAACACATGCATACTTTACTTTTATACTTCGATTTTTTTTTTGTTTATGTGTGTGAAAATGGTTCTTTACTTTTGCACCTCCAAAATACTTAATGAAATAAAGTCCAAAAAAACTGATCATAAATTAAGAACTATGTAACATGCTGCAGTCTCAGTGACCTTGTAAACATTACAATTTAACTTGAGATTTTATAGTTATACATATCAAGTGATTATTTAAATTTGGGCACAATCCAAATTAGCATTTATTGCATAAAAAATAAGGTCTTCTTTTGCACTTTTTATCAGGTAAGTACAAGCCATTCTTATTTCAAATATACGTCAAAATGGACAGAAAACATTCCGTTTAATTCATTTCTGTCCACAGCATAAGGATTCAGTCAATTACATTTCATAAAAATACTTCAACTTTCTCCAACAAGGTATAACCTAAAAAACCACATACAAACTAATAACAACTGTATAGGGCACTGATTAAGAGCTACAACGCAATGTCAGCATATAACATCAATAATTTTATCATTTTAAAAGGTTGTTTAAATCAGAAAGACAAAAATGAAGAAATAAATACCAATAAAATGTAAATGTTGCAATGATGAAAACGCTATAATAAATAGAAAGTCATTAAACAACATAATACAGGAAGAGTTAGTCGTATTGATGTTTGGGTTATAACACGACCAAATGAAGGTTGAATTGGAACATTAAGCATAAGTTACCAACTGTTGCGATATTATATGCGAGTATTTGAAGAGTTGTCAATATATATTAAACAAGTCCTAATATTTCGCTTCAATAAAATTCAAGTCTTTACTATAAAAATAGAAATATCACAGAAATCTGTTCCAATCTAAATGGTTACTTGAGTTTCAATATAACATGGTCGGATAATAGCAATATACGTCAAACGAGACCGTGACTTATCGAATGCGATAATTATGGAAATATGCTACGAACCCTTTTCCTGATTATCCGAATCCATTTTGGTATTAACTGAGCTGGATCCTTCCAAACTAAGACAAAGAACTTGAACGTATTTCCAGGAAAACTGGCGAAGATTATCACATCAGCATCTGTCACTTATTTGGGCGCAAATACAAACATTTTTATTGGTAAACAAAATAGGAACACCTTGGGATAGTAATAGGATATTTGTGGCAGTAAGGAATATTAACAGAACACTTGCTAATTACTCGGAAATTACAATTTTGTACAAAATTGCAAAAACCGAGCAAAGAGGCCGCTTGTTGATTTGGCCAGTGTTGCCATTAAATATATATCAAACTTTCCTTTTCCTACCAAATGATTAAACTCACTTATACTTTGTAATTGTATTCAAAGCCGAGTTACAGTTTATCAAAATATTTATGATATTTCTTTGAAACGTCAATCTTGCACCTAAAATATTTTTAAGCAATTTCTCATTTCAATTTAAAAGTGTTAGTTCTTTGTTTTGTGGCAACACTTATTTGGCTGCGTATAAATTGGCGGAAAATTATAAAACCATAGTTTTTGATAACACTGTCTTGTTGGTTTCGCAGTTAACGTTAAGTTCGCAGTTAGTAAAGTTATTCAGTTAATTACAAAAATGAGCTCTTCTCGAGGCTTAAGATTACTAAAAGCTATTCAGACTTATGTTAAAACAAAGCCTAATAAATTTGATACCAGTATGCTGTTCAGTAAAGTAATTTTTCGTTGTAAAATCATTGACTATGTTAAAATTAAACAAGAAGGTGAGAATGTTAAATAATATTTTTTTTAGATTCAATTTCAGTCAGCATGTGAAGGCAAGATCATTGGAGTATTTACTGTAGAAGAAAACATGTGCAACAATATGGATGCTTTGCATGGCGGATACATATGTTCAATAATGGACGCGGTAACAACTTATGCACAGATGTCCAACAAAAATGGACGATTAAGTTGGACCACTGATGTTCAAGCCAAGTAATCACATGCTTTTTTTTATTTAGTTATAACTTCACTATTTAAAAGTACCTAAGATTTCGTTTGTTAATAACATTTTTTTGTGTATGTAACCCTTTAACTTTGATATTTTCGATGATTCTTTTTTTGTTAGAGAGGGAGTACCTATATACCTCTACCTCAATAGTGGTCCCGTTAAAATTTGAAGAAAATATTAAAACCTCTAAAAGGCTAATTTTCAGTCACTTTCCGATAATCGATTTCAGTAATTCCACAAACATTAAAGGTCGATTTTTTTATTATAAAAAGCTTATAATTTTAATATTAGTGAAGGAATAGTTTTTTATTGTACCGAAAAAAGGTAAAATACGTGTTCAATGTTTGGCCATTTTGTCTGGAACAGAATAAAGAAGAAAATATTTTCAAACTTTGTAATATAAATTTTAAAAAAATTGGAGATTGCCTCATAGACTGCAATGAAAGAGGAAGTTATAAATTCAAAAACCAGTTTTGTATATTGGGAAAAAAGAGGAGTATCTACATATTACACTAAATACCTAAATACTTTTTTGTGTCGATTATTATTGTTAACCAAGCTGATCGTATTTTCCTAAATTGTAAAAATAAAAAAACATCAACTGAGTAGAATACTTTAAAGAATTATTTGAAAATTAAGCGTTCTGAGTCTTTGAAGACAAGTTTCGCAATTTTTTATAAAATGGCAAAACAAGGTGCGGCAAGTTATAACTAAACGCATCAAAAGGTATTAATATTATTATTATTTAAGTTTTTTCTTCGCCAGATTCCTAAAATCAGCCAGACTAGGCGACCGTATAGTAGTTGAGACGACACCCCTAACAAACGGTTCACATTCAGTAATGGAGGCTACACTACGGAATGAGGCAACAGGGTCTTTAATCGCAAAAGGAACAGTTACTTTGGTAGCAGGCGCTGAGAAATTTCAACATAAGGCCAAGGATGTTATTAAGTTTGATGTTTATGAAGAAGATTAAATGGAAATGTAGAACGAATACCTAAAATGGGAGGGGCGAAAGGTAGGGAAGGGAACTTATTATTAAAAAATTGAAACTGCAATTGTTACTAAAATGATCTAAAATATGCTGCAAATAAAGTGTTCTTGCAGTACTGCAAAATTATAATGAATATGATTATGATTGCAACAAAGACTTTTATTTAAATTATTTATGTTGATAGTCAGGATTGTTCCCATCTGATTCCCTATAACTGATCCATCGCCAGTTCCAAATTCGAAATTATTCCCTCCATATTTTGCAACTCCCAACGGATCACCTCATTATATTTGTAAGGTAAGTACAGTCAAAAGAAAAAGAAGTTTTAAAATCAAATATTCCTTTATTGAGCAATCGTAACTAAACATTATAATTATCATAGGGAAACAATTTTTTTTTGTGACAGGTGATTAACATGGACATTATATTGCAAATACTATACTAGTACAGATACCTAATTTCATACAAAGAAATGTCGCACTCGTAACTCCGCTTATTCGGACGCTTATTTTGATTCATAATGCTAAATGCACGTTGCCATTGTAATAATATTGGAAAAGGCCAACGGATGGCAGTTATAACATTTTTGTCAAGGTTCAGGCGTTCATTATATATAATAAAATCGTAAAGAAGTTGAATCTGTACTTTTTTATTTTAAAATAATACATAACATTATTTCGTTTCGAGAACAAATTCATATAAATGCCATCTACACAATTTATTGTAAACTAACAAATCAAAATGTATATCATTGAAAAACCTAGAAAATTAGATGTGTTATCCCTTCACCGACAGTTTACTGTTTTCACCAATAATTGTCATGGTTGTAAATGAATTTCATTTTAACGTTAAAAAAATGTTGTTTAAGTTTTAGTTTTGATTTTTTTTACATTTTATACATCTTGCTTAGTACGACATGCCTCAAATTTTCGTCATTCCTTACTTTATTTTTCTTTATATTTTCCAAGTGTCGTCATCTGTACTTTTAAATATGTATACTAAAGTTAATTTATATGAATACCCCATGTCACAAGTAACAAAAAACAGACTTTAGTAATATTTAAACTCTTAGTTTAATGTTATAATTGTCACAATCAAATTATTATGTGAAAAGTCATTAACATTAACATAGTCATACATTTTCTTGTTGACTGTACCACAGTACCTACCAAGAATAAACTTATAAGTACCAGTGTATCGGGTGGGAATAACTTTTAATAGTAATTACTGATCCCCTGTGTGGGGAATCCGATGGGAATATAAAATAAAACTAATCCACCAGGGGATCAATTTTAGGGGATCCGATGGGAATAACTCGATAGTCAAATATACTTAAAAACAATTTAAGGTTAAAGGTACTAACTGGGTGATAAATCTGTTAAAGATTTCTCATAGATGACGCTACGACTAAAAAGTCGTTGAAAGACCAAGTACAAAGACACGACGCAAGCACATAGAACAATTCGTGAGGTCCGTTGGTTTGTTCCGTGCTTAGTTGGTATAGCGTCTGGCACGGTATGCAAGAAGACGTCGGTTGGAATCCGACCGGATCGAAGGAATTTTTTCTGAGTGTTCGATCTTTGTGTTAATAATTATAACAAACTAGTGGAGTAATTTCACAAAAAATAATTGAATAATCAATTCAATAAAAATTTAATTAATTTAAGGTTATTTCATTTACAAATGTTAATATTCTTGATTATTAATTGCGAAGAAAGTAAGGACAATGTTACTCATAATTCGATAAGTAGTAACATGAGGGCAAAAAAATATTACTTACCACCCCGTAGTATATATGTAATTCGAATATTGGACGAAATTATTAATTAGAAAAATGTTTGATAAACACATGCTTCAATTTACTGTACTGTATTTGATTGATCGTAATTGGTTTGTTCTAGAAAGAACGACATATAGTATTTAAAATTAACAGCTTTTTTTACACCTACCCAGCATTTGTCTGTATTTGAAAAATAGTTATTTGTTGTGCAAGGCTGCAAAGTTATATGACGCGAGTGCTTGTTTTGAAACCTGAGCATGCGAAGAAACCCAAAGTTCAAAAATAGAATCATAAGTATAGCGAGTATTGTAAGGCATGAGAAGCAAACAAAACTTGCTGCTGAGCGAAATGTAACTCGTCACTCACTATAGCGATGAAAATGATAGATGAAAGAAGAACAATTGAATTAAAACAAATCAGTTTTTTTCATCACTGCTAGACCGAGACTCGCCCATGTTTTTTTTTTTCAATTTATTACAAGTTGAAAATTTGACAAAATAAGTTTACTTTTGGGTCCGTTCTGAATTTACACCACATACGTTTTCTTCTTTATTTATAATTTTAGGTGACTAACGACATTGTTTTAGTTCTTCGACAAATGAAAATAATCTAATAAAACAAAATTAGCGTAATCGTTGTCAACTTAATGCCAGTAATAATAAGAATAAATTAACATTATATAAATACCTAGAACGAATTGTATTTCGGTACGTGTCGCCAACGCCATTAAAGAAAAAAATTTTTAGTTCGTATATAATTCGGATGCGTTCTGAATGCACCTCATCAATTTTTGATCTTGCCTTGAGTCATAAAACTTTTGTGTAATTGTTGCAATTATTTTAGATTTTCGGCAAATAAAAAATAATTTGATAAACAAAATTACTTATCGTTGTCAATTTGATGACAACAATAATAAGAATAAAATATACCAACCGATTTATATTACATAAACAATGTACGACAAATCGCGTAGTTGAACGTATCATGTTTTTAGGTGCACCACAATCCATTGTCAAATTCGAATTTCAAAAATCTTTTTCACAGGTGGAAGAAATGTTATATCGCGCAGATTTCTAATTAGAAAGTGAAAACAAAAATTATGTTCGATAGTGACATTTTTGTGTTCGGATCCAAAATATTCCCGGAAATAAAGACAGATCCGATAACGAGTTTGCCATTGGAGTTATCTTGGAAGATTTTCTCGTAAGTGGCGCTTGATGACTTTAAAATTACAGTTTATATCAATTTAATACGATCTGTTTATTCGTCTGCTAGTGTTTTGTGACTATGGTTTACGGGTTACCGCTAGCGAGTAAATTTGTTGACGTATTGTTCTGTTATTTGATAATAAGCTCTGAGTATTAGGAAACGTACTTTGACTTCGACTACGGTGAAATTACAGGCACATGGGTCTTGTTTACTTATGTCTCAGGGTGACGGGCTTAGTGGCAGTCTTTCTGATTTAAAGTTCTGAGTGGCACTGCAACACCAACTTGTGGACAGGCGTCTCGCTTACCACCAGACGCGCGACTTGTTCGTCAAGTGGTACAATAAAAAAGAAATGGCGAGCTAAGCAAGTTTTTCGTATTTGGCTACAAGTTTAATCAAGGAATTATGAATTACCCAAATCTTCTTTCCTTCTGTCTACATTCTCTACTCTTCTCCCTGTCCTCTCTACCCACCGACTGATATTAAATAGTCATGACCCGGAAAAAGGGGACAAGTATGTACCAGTGAAACAAAAAATTATAAGGTACCTAAATTCAGTTTAATGTATTTTCTAGCTTAAACTTAGGCAAAGTTCATTTTGTAAGTACGAAACACCCGCCATCTTGGCTTAGCCAATATCAATGTTTGTGTTATAAATTTCAGCCTTAGAGCGGGAAAATTTGTGAGGCCGTACCAACTACTTACTTTATCTCACAGCATTTATTTTAGGCATGGTGAATTATAGAATGCTAGAAGTGAAACACGATCTGGCTCTGGTAACTTACGTGTTTCGTCTGGTACGGGGAATAATATACAACCCATTTTTGTTGTCCAAGGTAGGCTTTATGGTACCTAGAACTAATCTAGAGCGACTTCATAGAATGAGGTTATTTGCAGTACCTACCACACGATGTAGAGTGAGTGAGATGGCCCCCCCTTTTTTTTTTTTGATGTGGGGGAAATCTTTATGGATACCCCTGAGCCCAGGGAGACTCAGGAGTTATGTGTGGACTCTCCTTCCAGAGGTGGCCCCCCTGCCCCAAGCACTTAGGTATCTAAATCAGTTGCTTAACTTCAACTCCTCATTGGACCTTTTTGCATGCTCAGAAACAAAATTCATATTTTCCGCAGGATGCTATCTTGAGTCCTTGACCGGAGACAGCAGTATTAAGTGTTAGTTTAAAATGTAATAACAAATGGATTTAATCTTTTTTTGTCATTAATGTTAATCTGTAATAATTTATTGTTTATGGTATTGTGTTTATAATTTTATCAATTTTCATATTTTATTCACTTTTGCAATTGACTTAAGATTGATTGTACATTTAGCTTTAAGTCTTACTATTGCGTTTGGGTTGACTGTAAGCAATATATAATAAATAAATAAATAAAATAAAAAGGAAAGGAATAAAATAAAAAAGAATTCATTGGTGGCTGTAATACTTGAAGCAAGATGTTAAAATAATGCAAATAAAGAATTCTATGACAGTTGAGCGATTGTTAGCCACATTCTTTATCTCCCTAAAACAAAAAAATGCTGGTTTTTGTAGACAGTTTTGACAAAGAATTGATTTTTACTTTAAGTATAATTACTTGGACGCATGTGCAGAGTTATGTGTAAAATACCAATAACCTCAGAGGGCTGCATTACTAACATCATAAATAACAATTTTTGTACAAAGATTCCTCTAAACGGTGGCAACTCTGTGTAGTACTCTTTGACTCTTCTAGTAACTCTTTCTCTGAGACATATAAATTAATTAAATTAATGGATATATTAATCTGTTCTGAGCTATGCAAAAAATGTTTGATTTGTATAAATTAACTTTGACAGTTTTATGTTGGGCCTCAAAACTAGACACATGAGTGTTAAAAATAAAATTTAGATACGTATTTTTAAAACTAAGTAAATGTTGATTATATTTGTACACTAATATTATAATAATTATAATATAATTTGACCTGAAAACATGTTCGGAAATGCAAGTAAATTTGTGTCTGACTTTTTCACACACTAACCTAACCTATCCTACTGAATGGAGGGCACAACCGAGCAACCAAGATTTATTAGCAGATCAGTAACAACAATGTACTGGTTATAAATGTCATCTCTTGTTAAAAGAAAGGACCAATCATAGAAAAAGAGGATCAAATATTATTTTTGACATCAAATTTTAATTTAGTATCCTTAAACATATTTACAGTGTCACCTTGTATGCAGTTAATTTACAATTTATCTGTAGATCAACTAATATAGATGGAACAATTATTATATTTATCAAATATACCTAAAAAATACATAGTTTAATTTAAAAAGTGTACATTTTCAATAGATCAATTATATCTTTGAGGATCAAGTAATATTATCCCCTATCTTAATACCAACCAAAAACTTAAAAGTTTATTTTTGGTAAATTTATTAAGTTTTGTAAAAAAACATGGAAAGAAAAGTTATTGTATGATGTTCGTAATATAGTTCTGTGAGGTTGTTAGTATTTTTAAACCGGGAGCTGTGAAAGTCAAAAGAAGAGGCCTTTGCCCAGCAGTGGGATAAAATGTGCTAATTTAAAAAAAATGCGTTTCGATTTCATAATAATTATTTGTTTTTAATTTGATGATTCTTTACTCAATGCTCAATAAATAAAAAAGCATTTTTACTCTATAATTAAAAAAGAGCAGATAATACAGTCTCTTTTTCAAGTAGAATTTAGCATGTAGGTTAAACTTATGCACCGCAGTGTGTTGATGTTTTTTGTTTGGTAATAATGAGCAGAGATATCTGTGACTGCATTCTATCATATTCCTTATTTGAATAAGTTTAATTTCAATTAATTTTACAGATATTTGGATGGCTTGTCACTACGGACAGCAATGAAATCTCACAAAAGGTGGTGTCATATTATTTTATCAAACAGAAAATTAAAAAAGAAACTGAACCACTTCGAAATGGTAGCAAGATTCGGCTCTGATAGACTGGTGCAGTTTTACAAGAAGACTAAGAGAAAATTAAAGAAGGAAACAACAAAAAATTATTTGCCAATTAATGAATGTCATACATGTAAGGCCGGTTGAAATTATTTTATACAAAGTCAATTCTCTAAAATCTCAATAAATATGTCATCGGAACTCTTTCTTGTACATATTATATCTAATAGTTATTTTTACAATTTTTTACCATCTTTTATACTAATGGTGATCGCACACTTGTCCGTGACGAATTAATAGGCTGTTCCGAAATGAATTACTTACGTACCTTTAGTTATTTATGAAGTGTTGTCAAAGCGTACAATATCTGTAGGTACATTGTGATGATGAGGTTTTTATTGTCAGTCTTGATGGAAGATGAAGTAAGTGAAATATATATATGTTAATGTGATTAATATGGAACAAATAAAGTGAATATGTATATCACTTTTTCAGGAATAGTGACTCAATCCAAAATTGGTCAACTTTTGACTTATTACTGAGACTTATTAAAAAAGGCTAAATTTTATAGTAAATTGGACACTAAGCTTTCCCTTGGTTAGAATAATATTGTGACAACATCGGGGTGATCCACGATTCGTCAACTTTGCGCGGCACACACGTTTCAGTTTTTGTCAAAACAACTTCCTGAAAGGAAGAAAAGACAAGAAAATCTTCCAGAAAGTCATCAATGTGTATTTTTTTAATAAGATTTAAACGTGAAAATATCCCCTGAATTTGAGGGAAAAATACCCTACGATGGCAACACAGACAAGGTGGCAGGAAATGCGGGTTCATCGTCGGCATTGTCAGGGCCGAATCTGATGATAACATTCGAATTCTCGTTCGTTCGGCGCGTTGCGCGCGGACGGGTGTGCAGTCACCTTAACAGTTCACCTTTTAATGTTTTTATGCAAAACCGACATCTAATATTCGGGAATGTTTTGGTTTCAGTTCAAGCGAAAAAATCAACATTATTATACACGAAGAGACAAGCAGAAAGTATAATTGTTGTCCATACTAAACGATTCAGGCTATTTTAAGTATGTTTTTATAATTCACGTTATCAAAAGGGGTTCTAGAGTTTTCTAAAATGATTAAAGAAATTATTTCATATGATAACGATTTTAAATAATATTTAGTAGTAATTCGCAGAAACATTAGTTTTATTTTGACAAATAATAAATCACTAAACGCCTAATGTACACTCAAATGTAAGTACTAAATATAATTACATGCTTCAGGCCCAAACAAGTATTTTTTTTTAAACCAGTTCATAGACTAAACAAGTCGCTCGCCAGGTGTTAAGCGACACGCCTGTCCTTATCAATTACAGTGCTTGAGTAGCACTGTAACCTTTAAATCGTAAAGATCTGAGAGACACTGCCACTGCACCTGTCACCTTGAGACATAAGTTACACAAATCTAAGTCTCACAAATTAGAATGATATAGAAGGAATCCGGTTCTTCTTTTCGCTCGGAAACTCATCTGATTTCGAGACTACCCGATCGGTTCGATTCCGGTTTGAATCAAAATCAGCACGCAGATCCCCTGAGCTAGATAACCAGTGATCTTAAAGTATGCATGGCGCTAAGTTTGAATGCGATATTTTCATTATAATGTACACTGCGTTTACGTGATCATAGGAACAATATTATCAGATTGTGAACCACTTCACATATGGCATTTTCATATACGTACACGGGGCCGTAGATCATAATAATAATAAAAACGCACACACTCAGCATAGGGAAACTCTGTGTCGCGGGTGCTATGGACACATACATAGACAACCACAAATTACACCCACTCACGAGAAAAATAAATGTAGGCCATACAAATATTTCTCCCGGTCCGGGAATCGAACCTGGAACCTCTGCGGTGCAGTCCGGCGTGGTAACCTTTCGGCCACGGAGGCAGATGTATAATATAATTAAATATTAATATTTTTGATTCTTACTCTTTTAGACTTCAATTAAGGAAACAATAGCCTTAGAAATATTGAGACATTACCACTTAAGTGTAAGCGACAAACAACAAATTTTACAGGAGAGGTTTTTTTAAAATATTTCTCCATGTAAATGTGATACCAAATTGAATTTTAATATACAATAATGAAAATCGTAACCGATTGTGTCACTGTCAAGTTAAGCCTTTTTTAGCGCTTTCAATATTGTTACTTTGCCTTGCTCTGAATGAAGCCACCCTAATAATAATAGGTAATTTATACGATTACTCTGGCATTTGTGAATATATTTCGATGATCCTTTTTTTTGTTGGAAACCTCTTGCGTTTTTTGTTGGGTACCTCAGTGTTGGTCCCATTTAAATTTGAAGAAAATATTCTGCCTCTAAAGATGGCAAAGTAGGGGATGAATCCAGTTTCGCGCACTTTCCGGTAACCGATTTCAATAACACTTGGCAAATAAGTAGATTAAATTTAACGAACTTTTGAGGTCTATGTTTTTTCATAAGAAAGTTACAATTATAATTACTGGTTATCATTGACTTACAATTATATGGACGTCGGGTCCGCGCTAAAAGGTGTCCGCACTTGTAAGGCGCTAAAATCGTATACAGAACGCCAAACTCCGCTTTAGTCTTCATTTGTTCGACTGACAGCGGGATGCTGCGATGACATTACAATTTAAATTTCGAATAGGTTGACTTGGGACATTTTTTTCGTGGTTTTTGTACTAGACCCGTCGTCCATTTATTTGTAAGTCAATGCTGGTTATAAAACCTTTTTCGTTTTGGCTTTTCGCGATCAGCGTCTTGTTTAATACATTTGGTATACCTTAAGTATTTGATAAGTATTAGGTAAGTATAATGCTAATTAATAACCATTTTCTTTTCACCTTCATATTTGGGTTACGGTTGAAGATGAAGAACAGAGTACCTATACTTCAAACAATATGCTAAACGTTAAATATTCTGCCTATTGAAAAATGCAACATAGGCATTTAGAACATACCCTTGTCCATTACCCATACAAAGTAAGTAAGTATATGGCGTGGAAAGATTCGTGAATCCGCCTCGTAACGCTTTGTTTTAGATTTTATTTATTGCATACCCGCTAGAGTGCCTTCTGCTGGGTCAGCGGTTTGTTTGGGAAATTAAACTTAACCGCATTTGGGGTATGCGTGTCTGGTACCTAAAGTTATTTCTAAGGTTTGAAAGATGTTTATTGTCATATTTCAAGATATTATTTCGTTTCATTGACGCCTCGATCATATATGTACTAATTTGCCCACCATGAAACGACGACATAGTTGGTAATTTTCCGTCAGTTTTCTCGTATCTGATTTCGGTGGCAATTTGTATTATTTAGTATTGTGGAGTATTATAGGAAATGAAACCATTTTTCTGGATTTAAACAGCGAAGATGGTTTCTCCGTAGTTGGGATCCAGTATTTCCTCTGATGAGAAATCCCAAACAGAATTATAATAAAATATTCATATCATATACAAAGTGCAAGTACAACGGGAGCAGAAAAATAACCAATAACAGTTTAATAGAAACACAATTTGAGAAAGTGACGTAAAGAACGATTCTTTTATTGCAAGCATAAAAAAATACTTTAATTCGCTCGACTGTTTTAAAAAAATTATATTTACAATAACCATTTTATTATAAATTATTATGCTAAGTCATTGACTTATGCTAAATAGACTTTTTTTATTATATCTAGTGACGGGACGAACGCATTTTAATATTTTAAAAGAAGTTGAGGCTCATTTTTAATTTAAGAATATGTTACAATAATAACCATGCTCATTCAATAAAATTTGTGTATAAGATTTATACGTCTCTGAACACCAAAACTCCGGATTTCGTAGTGGCGTAACCTCGACTGTGATCGCTGAGTTTGAATCAATTATGAAAGTCACAAAAGATGGGGGACGAAGACAAATTTCGTCACGTCGGGGTCACCAGTGTTGGGGGTTACTCGCTGACCGTGAATGGGTAGTGGAATGATATTCGTGAAGACGCTAGATAAATCTTTTTATTCGTAATTTGTTGAGTACTTAATATACATATAATTATTATTGTTGAGTAATATACAAAATACAATGACGACGTTTTCACGGTGTCGCCATCTGTGAGGTCCTAGGTTTGATCCACGGTCAGGGCAATGTAGAAAAAAACTAACTTCTATATTGTCTCGAGACTGGATGTTGGGGTACCGTCGTTGTTCTTTTCTTTGCTTTTCGCTGTTAGGTTATCGTGAATTTTGCTTTTTTAACATGATTATGATACACATTTATTATTTGCGTAAAAAGTAAATAAAGCCTATTATAAATTAATGTTGAGTGGTTTCAATGTTTTTTGTCGGAACCACTTTTGTCAGTTAGGTAGTACTTATTTTGATTTATTTGTCTGAATTTTATTAAGTTCTTCCTTGAGGTATTGTTTTTCTAATGGGGCTGATATATTCAATAACGATTTATACATTATTATTATTATATATAAAGCTACAAGTTCCGATTCACTGATAGAAATAGAACGCAAACTTCCCAATATGGTGGAAAAAAGATATTTATATCGTCGTACGCGGATAGGTTCCAAAGCAAAGGGAAAAATTTTGATATAAATAGCTGTTGAAAAAACTTGCTTTGCTCGGGATGACAATTGGCACGAAAAGAATTCTGCAATTGCCTGACAATAATTTGTGATCAAAACATATTTTTGCAATTTTTAAATATGGTCGCCATTTGCTGACTTGTTTACGTTATACTGGAATGTTTTGTTTTTTAGTGCTTTAGAAATGTAATAAATTTATAAATAATTTTTTTTATTTTTTTTTTATTTATTTATTACACATAAAAAATATACAAAACATGTTTAATGCAATGTAACATAAACTATGTCGTTTTCCCGTACATTGTTAAATAAAGAGCTATTTTAATTTTTAATAATCTCGGTACAGAGTACTAAAAAAACCGACCTCAAAAGTACGCAGAATTACCAAATTTTATTGAAATCGGTTACCGGAAAGTGCGTAAACCCGGATTCATGCCCTAGTTCGCCACTATACAGGATTTGACATAGGAGATAATAAAAATCGGTTCTCACTACTCAAAGTATATTAAGAGAGAAAAACGCTTTGAACTGGAGAATAGCAAACTCGACCATTAAAATAATTGCTCCTTTTAATAAAATTTAGGCGCTATTTATAAAAATTAATCGTCATGCGTGAACAGCCACGGACCACTATGGAGGTGCCATCTTTCCAACATAAAAATAATCATGAAAATCGGTTCACAAATACCGGAGTTATCGCGTAACATATATACAAAAAAAAACATACAGTCGTTTGAGAACCTCCTCCTTTTTTTGAAGTCGGTTAAAAATAAAGTCAACTGTCGAGGCCGCAGTCCGAAGGCCAGCGGAGGGCGAAGCCCGAAGCGTCCCCACGCCACCACCGTGCGTAGGTACCTACTATACGGAGGCTCTATTAGATAGGTACGAGTGCAAGATCTCACAGTTGTTCAACATGTAACGCATGAGTACTTCTCGATCGATGAACTGGAAATGAGATACTTATAGAGTCGTTTTTGCATCTCTGTTAGTGTCCTATTTCTTGGTACGGGGTCCAGAGCACGTCAAGCTTGACACTTAAGATTTAACTCTTAACTACCGGAAGTAAATTGGCCGTCCATAAGAACCGGAAATAGGTCCGTCTCGGATCCGTGACTTCCGCAAATTAAGAGTTAAATCCAACTCTATACCGGTTACGATAAGAACGGTCCAAAGTACACAGTGTCAAGCTTGGCGTGCTCTTGACTTTACCTAGGCCAAAGAGAAGTATTCAAGAAAAAGAAAGGCCAGACAATCACACCAAATTTGTGGTATTTGTGGTCTCAAATTAGGGAATTTTCTGTAGTATGAATACAAGAATAACGATAACTCTGAGGGCAATACCCAGACCAGAACCGACTAAGGAGTTCGTATCCTAAATTGGCCCAAATCGGGAATCGAACCCTGAACCTCCTCATCAAGCGCCTATAGTACTAACAGTCGTGACCATAAGCCGAAGAATTATGTTCTTACATCCCGTAATCTGAACCCGACCACGCGCTGCAGGGCGAGCCTGACCCGTAAGTGGAGGAGAGGGCTCGTAGATAATATAGATGCTTATACATTATTGTAAGTATGTACTACTACGTTTCAGTGTATAAATCAGAAAAACCCTGTTTCTTT